TTGTGGCCGTCTGACCAGCTTGTAGCCGGTGCCTCAGTCGGAACTGTTGGAACTCGTTCAAGTCGTCAACCTTTCGACGTTTAACCATCGGAATAGCCTCGTCATCGCTGAGAATTAATGACTTATAGTCGCGTTCCCAGATGCCCCGAACAATCCGTCGTGCCTCAAGGACCCATTCAGGTCGATGAGCCCAAGCCTCCTCAAACCATTGCAGTCGCAAGGCGGGATGGAGAGCGACTGCAGCATAATATACCGGGCACTCAACCAACTTGATATAGTATTTCTCCAACTTCTTCCACCCCAATTCGACGTTTATCGCGAAATGCTCGGAATCAGGCACATCCTTGGCGAATTCCTTTGCCTCTTCCAATCGTTCAAGGAGATATTCGAATGCTTGGATAATATCCCATGCTGTTCCGTATGCCACGAGGTTGCCGCCCTTACGCACCCGAATCTGGGCATCTCCTCGAGGGCCTTGATGGCATTTTCGAAGTGCTTAAGAATATTCCGAAAGTGGCTGATCACTGTCCAGTCGTTACCGGTCAGCAGGTCAGAATCTCGGAGGCATGCAGGCATGTCTTTCTTCTTTGACCTGCTTCGGGTATATTCGAACTGTTCCAATGCGACGAGGTCGTCAAGAAAGTCGTGCAGTAGAAGGGCTCGATCCATCATCTTATAATGGGACAACCATCGTGTCATGTTATCCGTTAGAACGTCAACTGGTTTCTTCGTACTGTCCCTCTTGCGTTGTAGATCCCGAAGCATGTACGTTAACCTATCCGATTGATGAATCCAGTGGACAAGGTTGTGGAGCTTGCCAATAGGCCCCCTCTTCCGCCAGAGATCATGTCGAGCAAGGTCCAGGTCGAGTCGCTCTTCTGATTTGAAGACTTCATTATCTTTGCCAAAGAGCAGCGCTTTGGCCACGAGATTGATGATATGCCCAAAGCAGCGGACCCGTCTCTGCTCCCCTAAAAATTAAAAACGTGTCCCAGTGCTGCTACCGCCGTATCGTTATTCTTCGCATTGTCAAGCGTGAAATACCCGATCTTGTCTTGAATCTCGAATGATTCGATCACTTCCGCCACCTGCGACGCTATATTCTCGCCAGTATGAGACTCTCGGAGTTCAGGAGCCCAAGGATGATCTTCTGTGGCCGCTTTTCCTTAGAGATAGAACGCAGCAATCCCATTAAGCGCATAGCGATTGGGCGATCTCCAGCCGTCAAACGCAAGGTGTATCTGCCCGGGGCGCTCCCTCAGTTCCTTTATCACAATATGCTTGTACTGGTGGTATTCTTGGAAAAGCTTCGTTCGAATAGTCGAGTGTGTCATGTGGGCTTGAGTCAGGGCGATCGAGGGATTGAGGTATTCGAGAAGACGCCGGAATCGAGGGCTTCAACTGCGCGGAAGGCAACATTCGACTCGGTGATCCAAGCAAGCAAGAGAGATTGGAAGACATCTTTATCGAATTGGTTTTTTAGCTTGTTAATGAATGCTTGCTCCTTCTGGTCATTGGCATCGAGGTTGAAGAATTGGGCAATAGAACGCTTGTTGGTTGTAGAACCCTTCGGTAACCGTCTACCTGATGGGTCAATAACATTGTGAGCATCATGTAGATGGCGCTCAATGTTTAGGGTCCCTTTGCCGCGAAGCTCACGGGTCCCTTCGGCGATTTCTTCGGTAAACACCGCTCACAGACCCAGAGGCGATTATCTACGTTAGCTTGATGTTCAATGTCGAACCCAAAGCTCCAGATCCACGATTTGAGCTTGCCGGCGCGTTGAGACTTGGTATAGCCGCGGAAGTGATGCCAGGGAAGGCATCCCACTCGAGATGGGGAACGGGGCCTGAGTCGCCTGAATCGCCTGATGGCGGCAAGGGAGTAGAAGAAGGCTCAGGAGATTCGCTCATTGCATATAGGAATGTTTAGATCAGCCAAGGCGTTGTGGAAGAATCGAGAAGTGTAAGTGGAACTGAGGCGAGAGATTGAACTTTGTTGTGAAGCGCGTCGATGCGCGCAGCGCGTCGACTCTTCCAACGGAACAGGGGGCCCTGTTCCCCGAAGAGGAGAGCAGGCTTACCTACAACGGGCCTGAGTAACCTGTAAGGTTAGTGGTAGCTATATACCCAATCCGTACCTACATTTCGCCTTGGCCACCTACCCTACAGGATCCCTGACCGTCAACGGCAATCTCATCAATCCATCAATCAACGGGAGCATGAATTGAATTGACAAGCTTATTCAGCAGACACTCGATTGAGTTGATTGAGTTGACGGTTGCTCAACTATATTGAGCAACCGTTGCTGGGATTGAGTGGTTTGCCACCCTGGCGCGGGCATCACAAGGCAGAGAAAAGGGTCGAATATGCCAAGTCCTTCCAATGCGAACCGACTAAGCACGCGCCCGCGTTTGAGGTCATAGTGCCAGACGTTAAATAAACCGCGTGTAAGGGGGACTGCGCCCTCTCTAGGTCGAAACAAGATACGCTGCAAACTTGAGAATAACTTTAAACTAATCTTGCCGCAACTTGCTTTCGCGTTGTAGGAAACGCAGTCCGGTGAAGTTTTTGATATGAGATTTTTTTCAGACTCACGACAGCTACCAAGTATCTTTTGGGATTACTCGTCTAGAAGGAAAGGCTCGGTCGATAATGTCGAATTGCGAGAGCGCCTACGAAATGCAGCCTGCCGCCTATGGCCACTGTAGATGCAACTGAGTCCGAGTTGTGAACGGTAATTGCCGGTCAATTAGACCTTTTTGGCGATTTATACATCCAGGTCAGTAAAGTTATAAAAAGCACGGCTTCAGAATACCCCTGCTCCCACTCGTGTCTAGTCTCTCTCCGCCTTAATGAGGTCACAACGAAATGTAAGACGAGTCAAGTCCGAATGATGTCGGGCCGCCTAAGTTACATATATAGAATGACTAGTCAGTCGGTGACACCTAGCTGCACCTAATACACCGATGTTACCCTGCCGGCGTTCAGCCAACCTGGCTGCGAATTACAGCGTGGCGTGCCGGCAGACGCCTAAAATCGCAGGCAGCAAGACTTTGGATAGATTGAAGCTTTCTGGCCGATGTGCTTGTACCTGGTCCCCTGTGGGACTGAGCCCCATTCCTCTGTCCGATGTTTCAAAGCTGATTCCGGTTACAAGATTTTTCCAAGATGATTGCGCTGGACAGGATGGGGTCTACGAGCAATGTTAAACTCTGCATTGAGTAATTGGCGGCAGAGTCAACCTTGGAATCATCACAAAAATGCTACTGGTGGCGGTCGCGGTGATACACTGCGTATTGCTTCTTTTGAGAGATCATTTCTCGTCCAGGAACGATTGGGGCAGTGTTCAACCGTAATGCTCTGTCAAGGATGCGGGCCTGATATGGAGTAAGTCTCTGTGTATCGAGTTGGTTTCGCGTCGATCTAAGCCCCTTGCCTGCAGAAACTCCGAAAAGACACCACTCTTAACGGCTAGATAGCCCACACACTCAGCTCTGCGAGGCGGCTGGGCAGTTAAAGTTTTCAACACACGCTCTCTTACTGTGCCGTCATTACTTTGGTCTATAGAGGACGACCATCTGAGCAAATTCGCAGATGTCTTTGTCAAAGCTACTTAGGCGTGTCTGAGTTGGAGCTCTTCGATCCGCCACTCTACCTGGAGTTCTGAATAAATCAACCGCGTTTAAGAGCCTTGCCACACCAAACCTGGGGTGCCCAAAGGTTATTGAACAAAGGAGCGAATTTGAACTTCGTTGCGTCAACCAAAAGGACTGAAAATATCTCTACGATGAGAATGGAATTATTAGAGAACAATTTACCTTTTATGGTAATACAGCAACATTAAGCCACGAAGATACGATATTGGATGCGTTGAAAGAATGAGCAACACATCTGATATACCGGCAATTCTAATGCTAACCTGGCTCGGCGAATGATGCACACACTTGGAACGATGAGGATGGTTCTTACATGAAATTCGTGGAAAGCTCTACGCTAAACCACCCGTAGTACTACCAAGCCCCTTCCCGGCTGCTGGCCCCCTCGTCCTGGCGGCCTGAATCCCAAAGGGGGGCACTATTCGTACGTTCCAGTTTCCAAGCCGCCCCAGTGCAGTGCTTGCCGGTTGACGAACTTACTGGTCAAGCTGTCAGGCTGTTATCTACCCAAATATAGGCGACTCCTGCCCCGCACCCTCTCACGATCATGTTAAAGAACCCCAAGCTTATCATCAGCGTGTTCTCCGCTCGAGGGCTGCGTAAATTCACGTACTCGTTCAAAGAGGCAACCGAGTTCAAGCGAGTTACAAAGCTAGACGAGGCATTTGGAGAAGGGTTGAGGCGATGACTGAAAGGATGATGTCGCCGGACTTGTTCTGTCGCGCATTTGATTCATTCTTGCTCCCGTCTCAAGATACGAGTCGATGCATGAACTGACTTCCATCTTCCAGCCGTTGGCCCCACTCGACTACCACATATTGAACCAAGTAATGCGGGGACGTCGTTCCCTAGCCGACTTCTGGAACATGCCATCTCCGGATGACAGGCTTCTCAACGTCACATCATTGCGGCGGTTCGCCGGCGTGTCGTTGAGGATCCACCTACCGGGCTTCAGCTATAGTTCGTCGCGACTCATCGTCGTTCAATTCTCTCAAAACTGCCAGGAGAAGAAAGCACGTTACAGCTAATATCTGGATCCAGCGTAAGGGGCCTCGTGTTGAAACGAGTGAATGGCCACAAATAGGAGCCCGACTCAACAGGACTTCTTTTCATTCCACGAGCATAAGAGGAAAGCCTCAGCCATTTTTGCTGGAGTTTGTTCTCTCTTTCCGCTTACGCACGTTTTTTCCACTTTTGGTTCTCTATTAACTCCGTGGCTTGTACTTGGCAGTTGAGAGCTGCGCTCACTACGCCATTATTATTTTCTTGAATCTAAGCATTTTCAAGTCTTTTCAGCCTATTCGAACCAGTCTCAATACCACATTGGCTCGAACTTGTCAACATGAAGCTCGTCGAAGTTCTTGGATTGGTTATGGCTGCCTCGGCCCCTCTCATCTCTGCCGCCCCATTACAGGCAGTAAGCGAGGGTATTGCGAAACGATGTAAGCCACAACCATTTTAAGAGGTCATGTCATCTCGGGATAGCGAACTCAAAAGCTAATGCCGACCGCAGCTATCGGCACTGAGCCTGCGTCCTTGGCCAGCGGCGGATCGGAGCTCGCGGGAAGGGACACTCAGAGGCGTAGAGCCATTGCCGAAACAGTGAAGAACCTCAGGGAAGACAGAAAAGAGAGAAAGAAGGAAAAAAAGGCTGCCGCCAAAGAAAGAAAAGCCGAACGAAAGACAAAGGAGAAGGATGAGAAGAAGAGCAAAAAAAGTGGTAATGTACAGAAAGAGAAGGGGCAAACAGGCGAACAGAAGGGAGAGGAAGCCCAGAAGAGTGCTCAGAAGAGTGAGAAAGTGGACCAGAATGGAACACAAAAAGGCGAGCAAAAGGATGCTCAGAAGGTTGAGCAAAAGGGAGAGGGCGAGCAGCGAGAGGGAGAGGCGAAGACCAAGACAGGTACTCAACCACCGGAGGCAGATTCCGGACAGTCCGGAGCCGAGAAGCCGGCGACTAAAGCCGGCAAGCCTGCAACCGAGACCAAAAAGCCTGCAACCAAGACCGGGAAGCCAGCAGCGGAGGCGGAGAAGTCGGAGCCAGTGGCTCCTGGCAAAGGCGCTGTATAAGCCTCCGATGCTTTTCTAGACGCCTCGAGCTGCACCATGAATGTCATGTCATTGGTATTTCACAACGTATAGTAGTCCAAATATTTTTTGATATGTTGGCATTGACCTTGCGTACTTCAATTCTCATTGTCCTTGAAATTCTTTCTCGAGCGATGTGTTTATACTAGTCTTGTGACTACAAAGCCCCCTTTGGTCCGCTCGATATGACGGCAGGGTGAATTGTATGCAGCGAGGAGCATCCTGGAAAGATTCAAATAAGATCAAGAACACATGGCTCGGACCTAACTATACATTGATATACCCTTTATCACAGCCTCTATCATGTCCAATGATGCGCTAAAGTCTGGAGGCATTATGTTTATAAAAGCTGCTCTTTCTAATTTGCTGCGTCTTCTCCTAGCGTTTGATGCAGTTACGGAGTCGTCTTAGAAAAACTCTATTCGCAGGTAGTCGTGAAAGCAAGGTCGGATTCAAAATTAGTAAATCGAATGGGTCGGGGGAGGTGGAAGAGCGCTTTATAGCATCACTCGGGAGAAGGAAAGGTAAAGGCATTTATGTTGCCCCTACGTAGATGCCCGAAAAGGTCGAAACCGTTATATACAGAGGCAGGGTATAGAAAATCAATCATAGCAATATAAAGAACCAAGTCTAAACGATTTAGATTAAGTGCGGTCTAGTTAACCCTAAACCCGATCAAAATCCAACGGCGGGGCCTGAGATCCAGCACCGCAACCAACGATAAACTGTTTATCAGATAACTCTTTTTCCCGGGAGACGATTTGATACCCCTCCGGATCATTAACAATAAGGGAAAATCCGCTACAACCCTCCGCGTTTACCCAGAGCATTCTAAATGGAATATAGTCTCCAGCATTCTTTACATAATATTGAAGAGGAGCTGTCAAAGTCTGTCCCCAATTTCGGGCTATGTCCACGTTATTCTTCGTAAATCCGGACTTAGCTTTTTCACCAAGCCAAATATAAACAGCTTCATCCGTCTCGTATGGGTTAAAGGTATAGGTGCCTTTTTTGCTGGGATGGAAGTAGCCAACATGCTGGACCACAGAATACTCCCGGGAGCCGACGTTATGTCCATAGACTATAGCAGGGTTGTTACATCTCGAGTCAGATTTAATCAACCCAAATGACCTCGTCGTGCCTGTAATAGCTGGTGTCTGCCCCTGGAGGAATACATTGACGTTAAAGGTCGTATACCAGGATGTGCTTTTAGGGTTAAATGGAACCTTTCCAGGTGCAGTTGCCGGAGTAGGTGCCAGCGAGCCTTTATAGAAGGCCCACTGCAAGCCAGGTTGACAGGTGTCCCTATGGCAGGAGCCATAAGGACAGCATCTTGCTTTTTTGGGAATACATTTTTTATGGCACGGATTCTCGCCTCGGCGGCAGCATACTGCTTTCTTCGAGATACACCGCCCGTGACATAGCTTTTCCCAATCAGGACATGGCCGCGAAGTCTGAATTGTCGTATCATCAGACTGGGTGGGATAAAAATCGGGAGGCGGGTTTTGGTCATAACCCCAAGAGGATACGTCTTCGTCACGGGCGTGCCTAATACCGTCCTCGCTGATAGAGTTGGTAACGGCAACTGCAAGCCCGTTCCTGAAAAGGAAGGTCGCGGCGATAATAATGAGCTTCATCTCTCTAAGAGAAATCCAGAGACAAAGTATAGTTAAACGATGAGATCGACTATAGAAGGTATCAATTATCGTGTTGATGCTTAATAAAAGGAACTAGGTCTAGTAGTAAGCGGACCTTGGGTCTTTTAAGGTTAACGGTAGGATAGTATACTGCCGCTTTACTTAACATATATGATTGACTTTCTTCGGAATTCTTAGGAGTGATATGTTCCTGGAATGACTCTGCCAGTATTGGTATGCTGGCGTAGTCTCGATCTCTCGCCGCAGTTTCGTCTACGTATTAAGTTGGTATAGTAGATTGCAACATTAAGTCTCCAGATGTCCTTTAAAGCGGTGAAAAAATCAAGTGTAAGTACCGAGGAAGTTGTCATACTGGATATCCCCACCTAGTCTTACTATCGTGACCTAAAACATGGTGTTAGATTGGATCGAAGTCTTACTATAGTTGTGTAGCAGCCTGCGGAGAGGTACCAAAAGATCCGTCAGTCTTCGCACTTCGTGCCAGACTACCCCTCACACTTGCTTATAAGAACCCACGCGCACGGGCGACCGGTCCGGTCGCGGCGCACCTTTGACACATGACTTTAGATGGGATAGACAGTCCAGAAAGATTCCAGAGCATACAGATATTGCAACAAAAAGGCAAAGGGGAACATATATGGTCAAGGCTGTTGGAAAGACTTTCTAATACGGTATACTAGACTATATTTTTCTACTATTAACGAGTATACGGCGTGAAGCCCTTAGCTATTCACTATTTAATCTAGACTGCATGCCGACAGGGCTTTAAATCTAACAGAGCGGTTACTGGTACTGTCGATACGATATCAATGTCGATATATGCGGACTATCTACCTGAGACCCTAAGAACTTCGTGACTAAATTAAATAATTGTGTTTTTATGGTCAAACTCGATTTAGAATCTTAGCCGTAAGTTGAGAAGGTCCGTTCGTACGCATCTAACTCTGAAATTACATTCAGCGACGTACCAGGCATAACGACCCCAACGTCGCTCACTGCCACGGCACTGTAATCATTGATTGCTAGTAAGATACTCCATTAATCGAGCATGTCCCCTTCGGACTTTTGTCGCAACATCTACTTTGTCGCAACACCCTACTTTGTCGCAACACGCAATGTCGCACACATAGGGAAGACACTCCTTAGAGCACAGCTAACTAGGCAAGATGATGCAAAACACTCTATCTAATTACCTAGACGGGGGAGGCCTGATTTCTGACATACTAGTGACTGTAGGGGAGGGACTTCCTCCTTGTTTTACCTGACGGAGATTTAGAGCAACAAGCATCTCAAGCAGACACATTTTTTCACCAGTGGCAATTAGACGAGAGAGAGAGGTTCTGCGGTAGGTCTAAGAGATAGTAGAGAGTAATCATACTTCTCGACTTATGTAACGAGTTCTACGAGTCTAGTGCTTATATCTCCTTCATAACAGAATAACAAAAGTCCTCCTTCTGCCTTTGAAAGTATGTTAATAAATAGTGGGTCCCCGCGTAGGTCAGTCGCCCTTGAAGTCGATGTCGCCGTCAAAGTACATCTAATAGAAGATCTCCATGGGGTTCTAGTATTATAGCTATAATTATCGCGGACGCCGCTTCCTGCGCCCTATCGTACCAAAAGACTGGTCCCCGGACGAGACCGTTAATGCCTCGGGGAACCGACAATGCCTTCAGGGACCGACCAGAGTTGGGATATAAGTTATTAGAGTGCAGTTGGCATTAGCGCGCGCCCGCTAGCACTAAGATCCCGTACCTAGCCCCCGCTGTTGCATAAATACACATATAAGCGGTCTAGGGCGGAGATCGGGAATGCATGTGTCACACTGTCACCAGCACCTCTACACACTACAGGAGCCACCTGCAGTGCACCTGTCGGAGTGATCACCTCACTTTTGTCTGTTCTTTTCCATCAGCTTATACATGAATTTACGGGACTGGGGCTCTCACTCCAGGACTAATTTCTAGTGGCCTGGTAGCTAGAAGTGGGGCCTGTTTAAAACCCCCTTATAATTGAGTCTTAACTTTCTAAGTCCAGCTACATTTTTCACGTTAGAAACTTATGGAGAGAAGTCTCTGCCCTAGACGTATCGACAACCAAACATTCTTGGTCCGTCAAGCAACCAATACTACCAGGCCATTTCGTCTTTGGTACCACACTGTTGCCCCGCTTATGGCTAATGGTTTTGGATGCGGAATGGATAAACATATACTAAGTCCTGGCAACACTCAACTTGGAATTTAATGACTACAATATGTCGGTAGAGAAAGATCGTTTGCTTACTAAAGATCAATACGGGGCGATTCGGCAGCTAGTGCCAAAGGGTATGTTTATAATCTGAGAAAAATAAGCGCTATATTCGGAATCCCAGCACCTATCCTACGATATAATTATAAGTACTAGTTTGGCATCTACTTTAGTTTCAGTATCTATATAATTAAAGGTAGCCAGGCCTATGGAGCTTCCTTTCCTACCTAGGTTGCATAGCCCTATGTGCTACTAGTTCCTTAGGCTCTTAGACGTCCACAGCACTTCCCCCGGAGTTCCTTGACCGCTACCTACATTAGCAGGGGAAACTGACACCGCCTGTGACGCACACACGCGGCCCACGCCTATAAAAAGAGCCTCCTCCCCCTGTCGCTGGCTAGAGGCAGAGTTGGAAATCGATCTTATAGATCGATTTTCGAGCCTGATCGATCGAATTTTATCGATCGTCACCTTCAATCGATCGATATCGATCGATCGCTGTTTGATTCGAATCGATCGACGATCGAATCGATCAATACTAAAAATCATCCCTATCTAGGTGATCTTGCCCATCAGTTGAAGAACTTGCCTCCAATTGTCCCCTTCAAGCAGACCAAGAGGAAGTGTCGGCTGATAGATGCCAGCTTTACTCCAGGAACGAAGACACTGCGCCATCGCCACAATATGGCGTCGTAGGCGAGATCTCAGTGGTGTTATCATCCTCCCACAGCTGCTAAAATCTCTTTCCGTTCCTGCTGAAGACGACGCGATGGTAAGGTAGTCAACAGCCATATAAGACAGCCGAGGAAACCGCGCAACACCAACGTCCTTCCACCAAGCGATTGGGTCCGTTTTGTATGCGATATTTTCCACCGGCGGCTCTGATAGGTACTGATCAAGCTCGTCCTGTTCTTGCAAGGCGGTTGACTGCTTTGGTCCTTTAATTTGCCGCCCTCGAGGCTCAGGGCAAGCCAATGATCGACTAAACGCCAATCGACGCTCAATATAGTCCAAGCCACTATTAGTCGTATCCGCTGAAACACCATCGCAGGATTGCCGATGAGCCATGTTCTTGTACCTCTCTTTCCAGACTGTCGCTAAGCTTCTCGCATATGTTCTTTCCCACTCCGACGTCTGACGAGACGGGAGTTGGCTCCAAAGCCGTTCCAGAGCGCGCCACTTCTTGCAGGGTGGAACACCACTGCCGCTACATATGCGGTTGAGGTCAGCTTGCTATAGTAGTCGTTCAGCTTCTTCCATCCGAGCTTGATGTAAATCTTCAAAACCCTGCGAGTTCTTGCGTCCATGTCATTGAACAGGTGAACCTCTTTCATGGTCTGATCTTCGTTCTCTTCGATTATAACTCCTGAACTGCTAGTTCGAGGTGGTCAAGAGCATCTCTACCACCGGGAAGTACTCATCGAACCCTCCTGACGTGGAGCGTTTACCAGCAATACCCTCGCCCTGGAGTTGCTTCGAGGCGATCTTGAATGGCTGAAGGATCTTCTGAACCGCAACAACGACCTTCCATTCTTCAAGGAAAGTTGTTCTTTCAGTATCGCTGGTTTGTCCTGTTCTTTGCCGCCTTTGCCAAGCCATCGTTCCTCGATGATGGAAAACATCCTGTTCAAAGCCGTACGCTTCAGCAGAGCGCGTGAGGCCATCGCCTCATCGGATTGCCAGCGAGTGCAGACGTTTTGAACCCACGTAAGAATAGGTTCAGTAGGAGCGGTTTGCCGTTGAGCTTCGTAAAAGACCTCGAGAAGTTGACTGCTCGTTCGAAGAGCAATGCCAATATTGTGAAGTTTGCCAAATGGCCCAAACTTGCGGTACTTGTCCACTTCTTCGCCATTGATGATGTCGGGCAGTACGTCCTGATCCTGACTGCCTTCTGGGACTGTTTCAACCTCGAATCCTTCTTCCATGCTCGGCACACAGAAGTCGTCGTCGGTCGCCAGCTCATTGATAGCGTCGGACAACTGGCGCTGCTCTTCCTCTTCAGCCACAAAGTCCTTATCGCCCCAATGAGCAAGCAACTCGTTGAAATTATCCCTTTTGCTGCCGTACATCATAGCCCTGACGGCCAGGTTCAGAAAATGAGGGCGCAGCGGATGCGACGCTCTTCCCTGTCGAAATCGAACTCAGCGGCAAGCGCTTCCACAGCCGTATCATTATTCGTAGCGTTGTCAAGCGTGTAGTACCCGATTCTGACGCCGGATAACAGTCAAGATTGTCAGCTAACGGACCCAAGAAGTGTTGACTGTGGTTCTATACCTGTCTTCAAGACCAAACGCGCATATTGTATCTGCAACTTCATCTGCAAGCGCTGCTCCAGTATGGCGTTTCGCGAGAGCCAGCAAAGCCAAGAGGATTCCCCATTGGTTCCAATCTTGGTCGATAAAGTGGGCGTTGATACCGAGGAATGATGTGTTTTGTCGGAAGTCCAGCCATCAAAGGTAAAATGAATCATACTTCTCGCTCTTTGAAGCAGCTCGCAAAGCGGACCAAGAGCGCGATTATACTCATCTAGTAGCAGATTCACAAGCGTTTTGCCAGTTGGTATCTGGCCTTCCTGGAGAGCCGGGTTGTTGTAGAGAAGGAGTCGTCTGAAGCGCTCAGAGTTTACGACATTAAAGGGGAGGTTATGATATGTAAGCCAGTCGAGCAGGAGCAGTTGATTCATCTTCGGATCGAATAACGTATGCAGATTGCTGAGAAGAGTCTGATCTCGAGGGTTCGTCGGATCGGCGCGAAGCATATCAAGCAGGTTCCGTTCTGCACCTCCACTCCCGGTAACTGAGCCTGCACGTTGTCTAGAAGGTGGCTGACAAGTTAGCGGGCATGATCGAACGACGTGGAGATGGGGTACGGAGAGGTGGCACAAACCACGACTTTGTGCTCCTTCCTCAGATGTCGGACGACGCTTCCCCCAGTCGAAGCGATGAAGACGTAATGTGCTGTCTTCGGCCTGTCCCGGAGGAAGCATCTCTCGCAGATCCATACGATCTTGTGGGGCCGTGACCTGTTGTCCTTCATTCTGAATCCGAATTGCCACCACCACGTCCGTTCTCTAACCGCCCAAATTTATCAGTCGTCCAAGCTTCATAATCTGGAAACCCCATGGGTGCATATTTAGTTGATGCTGAACTGGTTGTCGGCTCGGAAGGCGGCGGCGTGGAGGAGGCGATCTCTATGTCCTCATCAAGCGCGTCCATGGTGGGAAACGTCCGTAAACAATGTGGGCGAGGTCAAATCGAAGGGTGCGAGGCTGATAAGGTCGAATCTGTATGAAGTCTACTCGGACAGGCTGAGGCCCGAAATAATTCCTGGTTGCGACGCGTACTGATTCCGTTGAACGGGAGGACTTGCAAACGCAAGAGACGGAGAGATCAATTTACTTTTGTCGACACGCGACGCGCGGCAACAAGATAGATATGACTGGCTGCCTGGGACCCCCGGTCGTTTGCCAGGGTGTTTGGCAGACGCGTCGGGCGGCAGCATCGTCACGCATCCAACCTACGCAGCCTACCCTGGACACCTTGTATGGACATGGCGAACGACGATCAAATCGATCGATTGGAGGTTGGATCGATACGATATCGATCGAGCAGGACTTCTAATCGATCGATCGAAATCGAAATCGATTCGATTAATCGATTCGATCAAATCGATTGTACGATCGATTTCCAAGCCTGGCTAGAGGGCGTTCCTTTCTATTGATACCGTTATCTCCTTCTATATCTCTCTCTTTTCCTTCCTACCTTATGCTTCTCTTCCTAACCTCCATAAACCCCTCTCATTACCCTACTTTATCTACCACTGCTGCCATAGGCGTATTTTTGATGGGGACGAGAGCATACACCCAAAGCACGCGCAGCACACGGCTAAGAATGGCCAGAGTAGTTGACGCCTTCACAGACCTCAGGACCATCTGATCATCAAGGAAGCAAGCGAGCTCTATGAGTCTCTTGTTGCTCTTATAAATGCTTTGGTATTCTGGTTCATGACTGTCAAGCAAGGGGTGCCTCTGTTGGCAACACACGCTTAACAGGGAAACAAATATTCAAATTAATGAAAGAATGAGAGGCCCCCAATTAGATGATCTAAGCGCCTCTGGGTCTTTAAAAACATCTAGAGTGGGTCCTGGACTGGAAAGTCATCTTATGGGACTTTGCCCGTCAAAGTATGTTTAATAGAGTACGCTGCAAGCACTATTAAAATAACTACAAATGGTGACCGTCAGCCAGTCAGGAAAAGGCCCGAGAAAATCTGTTTGCACAACGCAACTAGCTCCGCAGACGTGTTCTTCAGCTTCAATCAACGCATCCTTTTGAGCCTCTCAATAGAGCTCTCTTTTCCTCGTGAATAGCCTCATTGGGCAGGCCGCAGGACCAAAGTTTTGACAACCCCTCAGTCACTGCAGAGGCATGTGTGGCACGCAGCAAGAGAGAACGAAATTGACTAAGTGATAGCTTTGTCAATTGACCACACATAAGAAGACTTGGTCTAGCACCAAGCAAAAACAAAGGCTAGCCCTGGGACATAAAGCAATATTCTATTAATTAAATATTACTGTTAGATATCTACAGGGATTTATTAAGCTCATAGGATACAGCAGCAATGCTTTATCCTCTATTACCACTATAGCAGTCACAGTACTAGGGAGGTAAGGCTTGGCTATTGCTACAGGAGGTCCGTTGGACTCAGCTTTACAGCCGTTGACGGTAGGGCAAGTGTGCTGGCACGTAGCTAAAACAAATATTATCTAGCATATATATTTTACAAAATTCCGATTCTTGCGGCAGTATGTTTATCTTAAAGTTCTACGTCTATGTTTAGGTTAAAATGTGATTTAATATGAACCCACCTATAGTCGCCCGTGACCGTTAGGCCAGGACCGTAGCATCAGGGTAGGTTAGCCTCCCGGGGCAATGGGATAGACGGAAGCGGCAAATGCCGACTGGTTCCAGAAATTTGGCGCACGAGATTTTACGCTCGCCGCTCCATCCGACGACAAGTTCGCCTACTCAACGAGTCGACTGTCCAGTCTGGCCAAGACAACTCTAGCCATGCCCGCGGAAGACAACGCTCCGAGCCCGCAAGAGAATGCGGCAGGGCTTCAGGATCGAGAAGCCGGCTTAAAACATGAAGAGGCTGGGCCAAAACGACAGCTTACTCTGCCTGCTTGGCTCGACCACTTTAACAGCCATGACCTCAAGATCGTCTTCCGCTGCTGGGCCGCAACGTGGGTTGCAAGCATACTGATTTTCCTCGGACCTACCCTTCGCAGTATCGGCGTCGCCACCTTTTTCGGCGCAATAATTCTGTAAGCCCCGTTTGGCTGATGCCAGCTGCGTGCGACTAACCTGCGTCAAATCCCGTCATCTAGGTACATTGTGCCTCCGGCTAGCATCCTGTTTCTCTACCTCCTGGCTGCCTTCTCGGCCCTCTTTGGCATGTGCCTCGCCTGGGCCTGGGGCCTAGTGGCGATGAAGGCCGCATTGGACGCGCGTCCAGCATCAGAGACGCAGGCAAGGCTCCAGGCCCTGCAGCAGCAGGCCGCCCAGACCGCCCAGCGGTCTGGCGAAAGCGTCGCCTGGGAGGCGCAAAAGCTGGTGCACGACGGCTTTATGCTCGATGCGCGCATCACTGTCGTCTTCTACGTCTTTTGCTGCGTCTTCGTCTACGCGTTGACCCGTCTGCGGTACAACAACCCCAAGTTGACCTTGACGCAGATTTTCGGGGTCATTGTCATCGACATTTTCTTGCTTATTGGACTGACGCTGACGACTTTCAATGCGAGCTTGGCTTCACTCTTGGTAAAGCCCGGGACTATTGGCATCGGGCTCGGCGCCGTTTGTTGCCTCCTCTTCTTCCCGCAGTCGACTTCGTACGCGGTGCTGCACCAGATGGAAAAGCTCATTCGCATGACGGAGACATCGCTGGACGCGACTCGGAAGCACTTGGCAAGCCATACAATGCAGGTGAGCCAGCTAGCAGGCGCCCGTTACAGCTTGATTGCCGCCTACAAATCCATGGAGCCGGCCCTCGCTTTCCTTCCTCTTGACCTTTCACGCGGCCGGTGGAACGCAGACGACGTAAAGTCGCTGCAAGTCCGGGTCCGCGAGGTCATGCTGTCTTGTTTGTCACTTCTCGATTTCCATATCACCAAAGTCGAAGCCGCCCAGAAAAGAGAGTGTTTGGAAAGCCAGAAACTTGGGCAAGGTGCAGTTGAAAAGGGACCGACCGCCGAACAGAACGGCCAAGAGATTGGCCGTCATCAGCTGCTGGAGAGCGCAAATCTACTCGAAGCTCTCAAAAGTCCCGAGCATGGCTTGTGTGAAAGGCCTCTAGTGAGTTGATACAACTAACTAGTCCCTATGCTGTTTACTATCAAGATACAGAAGAAAGGAAGAAAGAAAGAGAATCTACTACATAAGAGCATAACGGCATTTTATAGCTTCGAGCCAATGGAAGGTTCTAGAAGCTAGGCGGCGCAGCCGCCGTTAAAGCAACTTGCCCGTTACATTACCTCCCTCCCTTCCAACGTTTCCTCTTCCGTGGGATCGTGGCAATCTGTGTGAAGAAGACTTGAGAAGGTGACACTCTTTTGATGTTTCTTCCATTGCTTCCATGCATCAGTGTGTCGAATAGTGGCGAGGGGCTCCCGTAGGCTGCGAGTAATCATGCCATTTTACGAGCACCTTCTTATGCGTACCTTCCATTCTTTCATCCAGAATTCTTTCGACAAGGTACATCTCTTGGCCGTCCACCAGCACCGGCGGGGCACTCTCTTGATTGATTTTCTGCGAAGGCAATGGGTCTCCAGGGACTGGCCGGAGTAGATCGACGTGAAAGACTGGATGGATGCGTCCAGGCACATCCAACCTGTAGGCATGTGGGCTGACTTCCGCGAGCACTTGATATTTGGCATGTAACCAATCGAGCTTCTTGCAGGGTCGCGATGTTTTGACATTTCTCAAGTTGAGGTATACCCAATCCCCAGGCTTGTATCTCGGTGCGGCTGTCCTGTGCTTGTTGGCTTGCGCTTGCTGTATTTCCTGGGCCATAGCTATCGCTGCTTGCGCAAACTCCGTGGCGTCCTGTAGTCTCTGAATGAAATCCTCCGCTGCAGCTTCTCCCTGTGTCGTGTCTTCCGTTCTTCGATGCTCAACTAACTGGATTGGCTCATTATGGTAGCCATGCATGAAGAAGAACGGACTCAGTCCGGTGGAGGTTGCTTCCCGCTCGTTAATAGTCGCCATCGCGATTGGAAGCAAGTCTAACCAGTTATCTTGCAGATAGTTTGTCCATATCCGAAGAATCCTCTCTACCTCTTGGTTCATTCGTTCTGTTGCACCGTCGGTTTGTGGATGGTACGCTGTCGACAACCGTTGCTCGATCCTAGCAGCTGACAGAAATGTTTCCACATACCACTGACGAACTGGGGACCCCGATCACTGGTTATAGCCGTTGGGATGCCATGGACAGGGTAATGTCGTTCGAATAGTCTTCTTGCAACCGCTTCTGAAGAAATATCGTACAATCCTTCGAGTTCGACGCCTTTGGTGAGTCGGTCCGTGACCACCATGCAGTTCGTCGCGCCATCCTTCCCCGACGGTGGGAGGTCAGTGATAAAGTCAATGGTAATTTCGCTCCATATGCGTTGCGGAATAGGGAGCGGCTTTAGGAGTCCTTTTTGTATCCCTCCAGATGGTGTTTCGTCCGCAAACCTCGCAGTTGCGCACAAACCGACGTACATCGCTAGCGGCACCCGGCCAGAAGAAGCGTCTCGACAGAGTCGAGTACGTGAGGTCCCTTCCAGAATGTCCGGTGATATGAGAGTCGTGAGTTTCCTGGATGATCCTCGTACGTAGCGGCTCCGAACCGGGTATCCAGACGCGTTCTCTAAAGCACAGCAGGCCTCTATTGTCTAATGAGCACTCTGAAATGCTGACAACCTTCTCCTTCTGTAATTCTGTTGGCAAACTCTTCGCTCCATCTGCTACCAGCTTCGCGAGTTCTTGATAGAGCTTGTCTTCTTGGCGTGCGGCGTGCCACAGCTGCTGTAGTTCCTCATCTTCAAATATCCTGATCTCTTTTCCGAAGTTGATTTCCTGGGCACCCTCGGTGTTGGTAGACAATGTCGATATTGGGACCCTTCTAAGGTGATCATCTTGGAATAGCCTCATAATGCGTCCCTTTAGTCGTTCATCAGAGTGGTTGGCCGGCATATCCTGGTCCCGTCGAGAGAGTGCGTCAGGCAATCCGCCCTTGCGGCCCGGCCTCCATTCGAGCTCGAATTGGAACCTGGACAGGAACTCCGACCACCGCACTTGTCTCTCTGTCAACCTCCTTTCCGAGTAGAAGTATCTCAGGTTCTTGTGGTCCGTTAGGATCTTGAAGTGCTCTACTGCCCGTAGCTCTGGTTCCCACTGCTCCAAACATCTGAGAATGGCGAGTAGCTCCTTGTCATGGATAGCGTAGTTCGCTTCGGCTGCCGAATGTTTCTTCGAGAAGTATGCGACAGGTCGTACCAGTCCATCCTTATCATCTCTCTGCAAGAGCACGCCTCCCGACGCGAATCCTGAAGCGTCTGCTTCCAAGATAGTCTCCTTTCTGGATGGAAGTGTGCAAGGATCGGGGCCGTGATCAACAGGTCCTTGAGCTTCTCGAAGGCTTCTTCGCACAATCCATCCCAACGGAATGGCACGTCCTTCTTCGTTAGCCGCGTTAGCGGCTCCGCTATCACCGAGAAGTCTGGCATAAATATCCTGTAGAAGTTCGCGAATCCGATGAAACTCCTCACGGATTTAACATTCGTCGGGTTGCCCATCCCTTCACAGCCTCAACCTTCTCTGGGTCGACTCGGATCCACACTCCGCCTCGATGATAAACCCAAGGTATTTCACAGCCTTGACTTCGAATTCGCTCTTGTTGATGTCCAGTTGCAGCCCAGCGTCCATCAGTCGTTGGAGGACCTTGCCGACTTTGTCGCGGTGGTCTTGCAGGCTTCCAGAGGAGAAGATCAGGACATCGTCGATATACGCTGACACAAAATCATCTAGGTAATCCTGGAGCACGCTGTTAATATACCGCTGAAAGGCTGCTGGTGCGCCTGTCAGGCCGAATGGAACTACCAGCCATTCGAAGGATCCATAGCGCGTTCTGAAAGCTGTCTTTTCTTCGTCGGCGGGGGCGACCCTGATCTTATGGAACGCTGCTATAACATCTACCTTGGTGAACCACCTTGCCTTGGCTATAGTTCGCAGGGTCTCGCTCAGTAAGGGCAAGGGATAGCGGTCCCTCTTCGTTATATGGTTCAAACCTCTGTAATCCACGCAGAAGCGGATGCCTCCGCCGGGCTTCTTCACCATAAGGACTGGTGCCGCGGCTGGCGAGCTGCTGACTCTAATAAATCCCTTGTCGAGTAGTTCTGTGAGAGTCTTCCGTAGTACCAATAGCTCCTCGCGGGACATGCTGTAAAGCGGTCCCCAGGGTAGGGGCTTCTCTCGGCCATGCTCGTCTTTCAGCACTTCGATCTTCAGGTCCACACCTGGCCGATGAGGGGGCAGCTGGTCGGCCAGTTGCTGAGAGAAAGCTCGAGACCACTTGTGGTACTGTGGTGGCAGCTTCTCCATTACGTCAGTCTTCGGTTTCGGTCTTAGGGCCTTGTCAATATCCGCCATTGTGACCGAGTGAACTCCAATGCCGCCTTTGCGTTTGTCACGGCGTGCTTCCGCTAAAAAGGTTGCGGCCATGACATTAGAGACGTCTAGCTGGGGAGGCTGGTAACGTCGTCGGTCTCGTACTTGAACTCCACTGGACCCGATCTCGAGATATCCTTCCTTTGCGTGGATGTGAACATCCTGGTCTTCCATCCATCGTTTACCCAGGATCATGTCCCAGTTAAGATCGTCGATGACGTACATGAAAACACGATGCTGCTGATGTCCATCGAGGTCGATCGACACATACGTGATCTTGTCGATTTTGACCTCCTTGCCGTCTCCCGCTGCATTCTCCAAGATGCGCGGCTGAACGCGTATATGTGGCAACTGGAGAGAGTGAAATGTGCGCTTGCTAACCGCGCCGTAGCAGAGGCAGCCATAATCGACGAGAGATGGCACAAAGTCTGTGCCGTTCACCCTGACGTCTGCTATGAACGGTTCCCCGTCCATTTTTGCTTTTCCGCTCACATCCCATTCTCTCACAGCCGCCGCGTGTCCCTAGTCTGAATCTTCATCGCTATGAGACGAAGCTTCGTCTTCGGCGATCTCGGCATTAGTGACCGCTGGTCGTGTCGGAGCCACGGCATTGACCTGAGTGCGACGGGTCGCGTTTGCGGGTCGGATAGGCGCAGCCAATGGGCAGCGCTCGATCCTGCAGTTGTCTCTTCCACAACGAAGGCAACGCCCTTCACGGTAACGGGCGTCCATCTCGGTCTGATCGACCCACTTTGCACGCTTGCCCAACAGCGCTTGGTCTTCTGGTCGGTTGGATTGGTGACCATATGTGTTCTTATCACCGCGGGTGCGCGCAGCGTTCACTTTCGCGGATGCTTGTAGAGTTGGCTCCCATTCCATCATGTCCTCTCGTCTAACTTCAGTTTTCTGGCCGGACTGTTTCTGGGCGGCCTGGCCTCCATGGTTCTGGTGGTTGTCATAGTTGTCCGAACTCTTTGTGTTGCCTCGGGGCCTTTTCCACTGACCCAACAGTTCCATCTGGCTGCTCAGCGAATCGCATCTCCTCGCCAGCCCAACGTAGCTGCTGATGGCAGAGGGGTCAGAGCCTATAAGGGCTGCTTTCATTTTGTCGTTTAGTGCCTCCTGGAGGTAGGAAATCTTGCTGTCGTCTGGCCAATACTCGGCGTTGGCATTGGCGATCTCCTCTCAAAGCGGGGTAAAGGACGTGAATGGTTCATTCTCCCTTGCTTAATCGAATGCAAGTTGCGTGTAGCTCTCTGCTTGCGATCCCTCTCCCCGTACAACAACTCGAGGCGGTTGAGTAGTTCAGCAACATTGAACGTTTTCTTCTCGGTTTGCATCTCCACAAATGTGGTCACGTTGTCTTTAGCCTTGCCTTCTAGGCTCATGAAGATGTACATAAAGTGGCCCTCTGCATCTCAAGGGCTTCTTTATCGACTCGTAGTTTTCCTTCGGTTTCTAGTTTCCAGCTTCGCCACTGGGCCTTGTCGCCGCCGAATTTCGGGATGTCTCGTAATTTGGGGCGCTTGGTTGGATGAGGGCTGTGAGTGGCGACTACATGGATGTCCTCGATGGGGACAGCCGGGGTGACAGATGGCGTCGGCTCTGGGAGTTCAGACGAACGGGATTGCTGGTGTTGCTGGAGTTCCAGGGCAATAAACCGTTCTTCAAACTGGGTATTTCTTCGGGAATTCTCTTCTCTCAAACTTCGTATCTCGGCAACCAGGGCGCTGAGGACGTCCGGCTGCATGTTGTTATCTTCGGCCATCGCGACTTCGCTGAACGTTAATAGTTCCGACGGGACTCAGTTACTTTGGTGTCTTCAGTGTCTTCAGTGTCTTCAGTGATCTTGATAGTATGTGAAAGGCCTCTAGTGAGTTGATACAACTAACTAGTCCCTATGCTGTTTACTATCAAGATACAGAAGAAAGGAAGAAAGAAAGAGAATCTACTACATAAGAGCATAACGGCATTTTATAGCTTCGAGCCAATGGAAGGTTCTAGAAGCTAGGCGGCGCAGCCGCCGTTAAAGCGGCTTGCCCGTTACAGCTTGACGCAGGAGCGCGCTTTGAAGGCCCTCCAAGCCACGACTGCCGACGTCTTGCAGATCTGCTCCCGATCCATCGAGCTTTCCGCCGAGTGCATCCACACCGTCAATGCTTGTCGATGGATAGGCAAGCCTTCACAACAGAGGTTCGACGAGTTGGCTCGAGAGCTCCAGGACGCGTTGACGACTCTGCGCTCTGCCAGAATGACTTGCGTCATTGACACGACCGAAGCTGTGCTGGAAATCCATGCGCATCACTTTGACGACAAGGGCCGGCTGAAGATTGACGAGGATCTCCGACCTTTTTCATTACAGGGTATTGTCTTCTCCATGGTCATTGAGGAGCGCATACTGGGCACAGCCGTGACGGTGGAGAAGCTGCTGGAGCACATCTCACATCTGAATAAAACACGGACGACCCATCGCATCTGGCTTCCCTCTCGACTGCAATATTCGCTTTCCTGGCTGTTTAATCGACATTCTTCCATCTCTCTCTCCGGTATCTCGACCCACATTGACGAGAACCCCGACTCTCCCACGGACCCTATTGCACTTGAGAGCCAGGCCAAGGAAGCTTACCGACGGCTACTCTTTAGCCGCGGGTCAAAACATTCCCCGGTGAGAAAAGGCTTTTTGAGTCGAGCCATTGTCGGGGCGTACAAATGGCTCACCAACCCCGCCGGCATATACGCACTCCGGATGGTCATTTTGACCATAGGCACTGCGATTCCGGCTGCGATCCCAAGCTCCGCGGGTTTCTACTATCGCGAAAAGGGAATCTGGACAATAATTACAGCGCAGACTTGTCTCGTGGAATATACCGCCGACTTTACGTTCTCCCTTGTCTCTCGTGGGCTGGGCACCGTGGTTGGGGGCATTCTGGCAGTCGTCGCATGGTATATAGGGGCTGCGAACGGCCCAGGCAACCCATACGGCTTATCTGCCATCACGGCTGTGATCACAGCCATTATTGTCTGGTGCCGTCTATTCCTGCCGCCTGCTTTCGTGCAGGCCGGCATCATGCTCGGATCCACCTTTATCCTCATCATAGGCTTCAGTTACGACCACGACCATATCGAGCAGTACGGGCTGCCTGGAATAGGCTATGAGGCATTTTGGAAACGACTAGTAACGGTTCTGGTGGGCTTTGCTGCGTCAATTATTGTCCAGCTGTTTCCGAGACCCCCCTCGGCCACCAGCCACGTGTGCAAATCGCTTGCTAACACGGTACGCACGCTGGCTGACCACTACTCTCTCCTACTCTCTCATTGGGGTCGTTCAGAGCAGGGCAGCCCTCTTGGAGCCGTGGCGGAGCAAATTTCCCTCGAGGTAGCGGAGACTCTACTCTCGCTCAACGGGGCTATCGCACTGCTCAGGGTCGAACTCAACCTCGGCGCCTTTGATCAAAAGGTTCTCAAAAAAACACAAGAGCAATGTCAATACATGAATCAATCTCTGGGAAGGCTCCTCGTCCTTTCAGCCTCTCTCCCCACGGAATTGCAAGCCCGACTCGTCAACACAGTCGGCCTCTTGGACGATCGTATCATTGGGGAAGTCATGAGTGTGCTGGGAATCATCGAACAATCACTAAGGACCGGGGGTCCTTTGCCTGAAAGACTGCCCACGCCGCTCATCAGCAGGTTTTGGAACGCACAGAGCCACGAGGCCATGCTGAGCAAGACCCTGGTCCGCAATGAATATTACAGGCAATACTGCGTCGCAATTTCTAGCTATGTAAAGTTTTTGTCTACTATTGATGACTTGGTGCTGCTACTCAAGGGAGCATTGGGGGAGTGTCATGTTATATACCGCTGGGAAGATGCATGAACGCGTGGGTTCGCGACAGCCTTCCTCGGGACATGGACTTCCCTGTCAAAAACCTTTGATTGAAATACATGTCTCAGGATTATAGGAGTGTCTGTATCTGTATTACTCACAAGGGGCCAATCAGCTTGGGAGCGAGAGACGTGCGCAGTCTCCCGCGTAAGTATTCATGTATGTATGTTGAATGGCTGGAGTTTCAATTGTCTTTAGGTTTTGAACTTTGAGACGACACGCCGGAGGAAGTTTCCTGCCGTAGTTGGCTTTCTGGATGGTGTTCGGAGGATGTGGGTATCTGTTAAGGAGAGTGGGCATAAGAGGCCACAGTCATGCCTAGTGGACCTAATAGTCATGCACAAGGAAGCCTGCCTAACTAATATAACTCCCCTAGCCTAAGGATATTATATAGGCCTAACTTAGGTATAGGAATATCTTAATGCCCTCTTTTAGCTAGCTATATATAGTTACTATACCTATATAAGCCCCCCCTTATCTTAATAGATAGACTAAGATATATATTACTAAATTTACCTTTTTATGCCCTTATTTCTTTTACTATACTCTTACGCCCTTACTTAAGAGTTATAAGCCTAGTCTATATAACTAGATTATCTTTTACCTACCGATATTACCTTTAAAGCTATTTACGAGCTATTAACGCTATTATAACGTATAAATCGTAGTTTTAAGGTAAGGAACCTAGCTATACTAAGGGGCACTATTAGAAATATATAAATTATATATCCCTTAAAGAAGGATATTATTTATTAAACTAAAACCCTTATTTTTCTTAAGATAACGTTAAAGAAAGTAAGAGGGGATAATTATATTATAAGACTAAGGGAAAGCCTTAATTAGACCTTATAAATTAAGGGGATTAAATTATAGGCCTAGACTTATAAGACTTAGGAATATACTAACTTAGACGGTATAAAGGAGCTTAAATAGCCCTAATAGCTAGACTAGGAGCAATTTATTATTAATCTTAGAGGGAGACCTTCTTAACGAGAAGATAAAACTAAAGCTATATTCCTTATAAAGCGAATAGGCTATAATAAATAATACTAAGATATAAAGGACTCTTTTCGTAACCTTAAGAGAAGGTTCTAGCTATAATTTAATCGCTATAAGGTCTAGTAAAGAGCCTTAATTATACTTAAAGAATTAATTAAGAAAATAATTAATAAAGGGCTTTAAGGGGTAACCTTAATATATAATAGCTTAAAAGAGAAAAATAAGGAGTAAAAGAAGTAAGCCCGACCTTTAAGGGTAAAGGAGAAAAAGCTAATTTATAAGAGATATATAACTTCTATTAATAAAAGAAGTATATAAGACTAGAAAGCTTAAGCGGAATAGCTCGACTAAATTATTATAGATTTACGAGATCTTAAGGTCGATATACTTAATAATATAAGAATTATATAGGATTTTCTTATAGCGGTAGATAAGTAGGACCTATATTAGTCTATAGTAATAAGGGCTCTCGACCTTTATAATAAAAGATATAGTTAAGATTAACTTCCTCTAAGGAACCTAATCGCTAACTTTAAATAAGAATATACTTATAAGAAGAGGTTATAACTACCTATAAAAAAGAGAAGCGCTAATTAAATCTCTAAGAAAGTAAATACCTAAGCTAAATATATTAGCTATAAGTAGCACGTTAATAGACTAATAAGCTAGTAGGAAAATTACTACTTACTATAGGTAATATATAATAAGAAGCCCTTATTAGGCTAGAAATATAGTAATCTAGCTAAATAGCATATTAAAAAAACAGCTAAAGGACTATCTAAATAAGAAAGTAAAATACCTAGCTTAGACCCTTAACTCTTACCTTAAAGGAAGAGAATTAATAGATACTATTATTAGTAATAACGGGCTAAGAAAGACTATTAATATAGTTACTCTATCTAAGGTAAGTATAGCTATTAAAGGAATACCGTTACTTACTAATAAATTAATATATAACTTAAGAGCCGATATTAACCTCTTTAATAACCTAAGATAGTTCTAGGAAGGAACTTTTAAGTAGGGTTCTATTAATAAAGTCTAGGTTAAAGGCTAAGCCTTTAAGGTATAAAGAATAAGAATAGTAGTTATCCTTATAATTTATAGTAGAAAGATAACTTTATTAAATACTTACTTTATCTTAGAAATACTAATAAGCGTCTTCTTAGCTAGCCTAAGGATAATAGTAGGGATATTCTAAAACTAGCTCCTAGGATACCTTTATTTAAAACCTATAAAGGATATTTATATTAAACAAACCGACTTTAAAAGCTAATTTATAATAGGAATACTCCTATAGTTTAAGAAGTAGGTATTTATAGTTATATAAGTGCCTAAGCCGCTAACTAAGGGGGTAGGTAACCTATAGTATCGCCGCCTTAAGTATCTTAGTCTAAGATTACTAGAGAAGCTATTAAAAGCCTACCTAAGTACTAAGCTTTAAGGCCCTATAATATATAGCTATTAAATATACGTAATAAGGAAAGCTAAGAGGGAAGTCTTAAGAGAAATACTATCCTTAAGGCCTAAAGGTCTAAGGGTATAAGTTAACTTCGACCTTTACCTTAGCCTTATAATAATATATAACGGGGAAAAGAACTTCGCCTTATTTACCTATATAGATATATTTATAAGGTTCTATTACTTAATAAAAAGAAAAATATATATTAAAGATATCTTTAATAACTTTATAGTATTACTTAAGACTTAGTATAGAGTTAAGATAACTATATTAATTATTAATAGGGAAAGGGCTCTTTTAATAATAGAATAAATAGATTATATAATTAATAAAGGGATATAAGTTATATTATCGTAAAGCATAGCTTAATTTCGTAGTTCTTAGAGATATCCCTTAGTAAGAAGGACCTAGGAAGCTAAAAACACTTAGTATAAAAGAAGAAAGAAGGAGCTAAAAAGAGGTATAGAAAGGAAGGTAGGGGTAAGAGGGGAAGTAGAAGTAGCGATAGCTTCTTATAGAGGTAGCGAGAGATAAGACGGATATACTAGCAACGGCTAGAAAGGAGGGGAAAGACCGGTAAAAAGCTTAGTAGTTAAGAGGATATTAGTAGCTTCTTTAAGTAGGATCTTCTTTATTAATCGAGATACTAAATAGGTATAAAGAGGGGCGTTAAATAAAGAAAAGAAGGAGAATTAAGGTAATATAATAATTACTCCCTTACTATAATTACTACCCTTATAAGAATTAAATATCTTTACCCTACCTATCCGACCCCTTACTTTTAATTTTACCTTTATATATTTTATATATACTTCTTATATCTCTCTTTATAAGAGTTATAAGCCTAGGAGGAATAAAATTCCTATACCTTCTAGCTACTATAAAAGGCACCTATCTTATATCCCTCGTAGCTTCCTTTTACCCCTCTTACTAAAAAAGCCGATTTTTAACTAACTTTTCTACCCCCTCTTTTATAACGATATTAAAAACCGACTCTTCTACTACCCCTATAGTCTATAGGATGATTCTTATAGAACCTTAAGATTAAGATAAGTAGGTAAAGGAGCTATAGGCTTATATAGATAGAACTATCTATAATTTAGTTTTCTTTAATAAGTAGGACCCTTTTAAGCTCCCTCTTCGTCCTAGGGCAATAGAATTTATAGAGGGAGCTTACCTCTTTTCCGGGCTAACCTTAATATAGTAAAGAGCTTTTTCTACTACCTTAGGTAACTATAAGAGTTACCGTAAGGAATACCTTTATAAGAAAAAGCTACTAACTACTATATATATAGCGATAACGGAATCTATTAATACCGTAAAGCTAATCTCTCTTTAAGAAGAAGAGACCCTTAGGTAGTAGCTTTTAAAGCTAGAGACCTTAATAGCTCCCTCGAGGGGCTATATAACTAACTATATTAAGAAGACCTATATAGTATACCTAGGAGCCTTTTCTACTAGGAACCTATAAGCTTCTTTATAGCTAGCTAAGTAAGAAGAAATCCTTAAGGAAGCTAATAAATACTTCTTAATAAAAGCTCTTTCCGGCTAGTAGCTATAGGATATATCTATACTAATAAAGCCTATTAGTAATAGTTACTTAACTATCTTTCGAGAAGCTAGCTAGGAACTAGATAAAGAAGCTACTAAAGTATAATAGTAAGCAGTCTTATTCCTTCGTAGCTAGCACTCGACCTAGACGGCTCGACCTACTACCCTTATAGCTGCTATAGCCCCTCCTACTACGGCCCCCGCTACTACTACTGCTGCTGCCCCTCTAGCTCTACCTCCCTTAAGAGCCTTAACGCTGTCTTTAACTATAGCTACTATCCCGGCCCTAGCTTTATATCTTGCTCCGGGCCCAGCCCCGGTCCCGTTAGTCTATCCGGCCTAACTAGTCCCCTAATAGACCTTTTAGTCCGTTAGTCGAAAAATCAAGGAACTAGTTAAATTAGAACCTCGTTAAAATTAGTAATAAGGGGTAAAAAGGGGGGGTTTTTAAGTAGACCTTCTAGACTAGGACAAGGATTCCTCGAAGAAATAAAAAACTAAATAAAATAGCTACTTAGCTTATAAATCCCTAGGCTATAAGTTATTATAATACTAATAGGTCTTCGAGGAAAGCCGACTTAAAGGATTTAACCTTTTAAAGAGGCTATAAGAAACGATATAATAGTCTCTTAAGGAGGACCCCTTATTATAGAAAAAGATAGATAAGAGTTAGGTTACTAAGAAATAGTAACTAATAATACCGCTACCTTTATTTAAGCTATAAATTCAAGGAAAAATCGTTAGTATAGTAAATCTATCCTTTATCTTCCTTATAAATTAGTAAGACTACCTATTAGAGCCCTCTAATTATCCCCTATAAAAATTAGCTATCCTTAACTTTAATACTTCCCTTAATATCTATAATATACTCTTATAATTTAGTCCTTTAAAAAGGTATAGAGGGAATACCTTATTACTAGGGAATTAACTATATAAATAGAGGGATATAAAAGGGTAAATTTTATAATAAAATTACTTAATA